TCAATTCTTCAATGAGATGGAAAAGGCAATTTCCAAATTCATCTGGAATGGAAAGAGATCCTGAAGCAGAAAAGGACATCTGAAAAAGAGAAACAAGGTAGGAGGCATCTCACTCCCTGATCTCAAATCCTACTACACAACCATGGTGGTCAAGACAGCATGGTACTAGTATAGTGATAGGCACATAGATCAGTGGAATAGATCTGAGAACTCAGAAATCAGCTTATTTACCTATGGTCAACAAATTTTTGACAAAGATGAAATCAGTTAAGTGGGAAAATGAAAGCCTCTTTAACAAATGATGTTAGCAAAACTGGAAAACTATCTGTAGAAAACTCAAGCAAGATTCATATCTCACATCTCACATCATACACAAAAACAAATTCAAAGTGTATGAAGGACCTACGAGTAAAACCAAGGATTATAAACTTCATCAGAGAAAAGCTTGGAAGAATTCTAGAAGCCCTAATCTACAATATGAACAGTCTTCCAAGCATGTTGAAAAGCCTACATCCAGGAGAGAATAAAATAGATGAATAGTACTTCTAAGACTCAAATTCCTACACACATCAAAAAATTTCTCCAACAAGGTAAGAAGGAAAGCCACAGACTGGGAAAAAATATTTGGAAATTACATATCTGATAAGTGGCTTATATCTAAAATTTATAGAAGACTACAGCACCTCAACAAGAAAAAAGGTAAACAACCCAGTTGCAAAATGGGCACAGTATATGAACACTTCATGAAAGAAGACACTCAGATGGCAAATAAACACATGAAGAAATTTTCAAAATCCCTAGTTCTGAGAGAGAGATGCAAATCAAAACAACTATGAGATCTCATCCCATCCTAGTAACAATAGTAAAGTTCAACGGAGCAGCAAACAACAAATGCTGGCAAGGTTATGGAGAATTTGGAACTGCTGGTGGGAGGGTAAAATAGTGCAACCACTATGGAAGGTGGTATGGCGCTTTCTCAAAAAGTTGGAAATATAAATATGATTTGACCCAGGATTTCCACTACTAGGAATATACTCTAAAGAAACCAGAGCTGTCATCCAAACAGACACTTGCTTACCCATGTTTACTGCTGGATTTTCCACAAAAGCAAAATATGGAAGCAAGTCAAGTGGCCATCAATAAATGAATGGATAGAAAACTTATGGTATATTCACACAATGAATACTACACAACATTGAAAAACAAGGAACTCATAAAATATTATACAACATGGGCGAACCTGGAGGACATTATCCTGGGTGAGATATCTCAGTCACAAAGGACAAATACTGCATAATGCCACTGTTACAAAACAGGACTGAAATGGGGATTGGGGAAAATGAAAAAAAGGGGGGAATAAATAATGGACACTGCACTGAAACAGATGAAGGAAAGAACTGTTCAAAAGGAATATATGATTAGGTATTATTTGCATGACAACAGTCCAGAATATGAGGTGCATGACAAAGTAGACTGGGAGTGGGGCAGGGAGGAAATTATGCAAAAATGAATAATTTTTTTATAAAAAGGGAACTTAGGGGTGTTGGGAGGGAAAAGTGCAGCAATGAATAAATGAAAATGCATGTTTTCTGTAAACTTGTGTTAAAATCAAAATAAAAATTTTAAAAAGTATACTCCTTTAGTAGGAGAAAAACAGATATCATATATAACATTCAATAGTATTTACATTTCAAAGTTTTGATGTTTTATTTTATTTCTGTAGGTAACAAAACATTTAGCAATATGTTCATTTTTACCAGATATAAGTTAGATGTAGGGTTTGACTTATATGCATATAGTCACTATGAGTTGAAGCCAACTACTAGCACCATATAGCAACTGAGACCATTCTTTAGACCTACAATTCTTATAGGATAAATATAGTTTTCTACTAAAAGCCTGTATGAATGGCTATCTCACAGCCTTTCCTTATTCATCACTGCCCCTGCATTACTTATATCTCTGAGATGATAAACTTATCTTTATGACAAAGAAGCCAAATCACCAAATCATCCACAATTCTTAAATGTGCCACGTTACTTCATATTTATCTGTTTTTATGGTCATGTTTCTCAGTTTTATCTAAAATGACTTTCCTTTTCCCATTGCTCTAGAATCCAACCATTCTTTAAAATTTCATTTTCAAAGAAACTTCCCTTTTTCTTATTCTCTCTCCTCCCTTTTATATCCTTTGGGTAAATGAAGCCCTTTCTGTTTCCATTATGGTACTCTCTTATCTGAACACCCTACCATTAAACTTTTACTCTATACTACACATGGTAATGTAATGTATTATGTTTGACTTTCTTGAGAGCAGACAGTCTATTTTAAACTAAAATCCCAGACTCGATCTGTGACGAGAATTTGTGAGGCACACAATGAATACCTGGCTGAATGAACGACAGAACAAGTGGACCAATCTAGTATCTGATCTGCAGAAAATAAAACACCAATGAACCAATGACAAAATGTAAGTATTCATCTTTGATTATACTACTATTCAATAATAAAAAGGGAGATAATATTGATACTTACATTAAGCAGCTGTTCAAAAGCAAAACTAAAGCCCTTCTTATAGTCTGTGATTCCTTTTGCTGTGATGTTATTCACTGCATCTTTCAGCACTTTCTTATTTCTTACATTTGCTTGAACAAGATGTTTAAAACAGCTTACATCCTGGGCATTGCTGTTAAACTGGAAAAAAAGGGAGTGGGATGTATAATGAACTTTAATTAAGCATACGATTTTTAATAAACTTTTCTATTATTCAATTTGATGCACTGTTTTCTCTTTCTAAAGGACAGGGGAGTTGATTGCAACAACAAGTGCTCATCAAACTATATTTTTAAGAAAGAAAGATTGCATAGTTCTGGACATTAGTGTATGCAATAAATAGCTCACCTCAGTAAATATTCTCTTTGATGTTTTATGTCTGTACAAAAGAGCTGTAAAAGTACAAAAACTAAAAAGAATATCATTCCTTCTTGATAGTGGCCAGGTTCATTCTGGAGCTTCCATCTCTGCAGAGCTAGGTATAGTCTTTGTGGGACAATACTTGCATATACTTTGGATATGGGTACAGAAGGGTGGACTCAAAGTCACATATGATATAAAAATGTCATTTAACTTCTACTTCATGGCACATAATTAGAGAGAGAGAGAGAGAGAGAGAGAATATGAATGCGTATATTTCTAATTTAATTTTTGGATATGGAATTTAATTAGAAGCCAACTCTTGACCAAGATTGAGACTTAAAACAAGAGGAGCTGAATTTGTGTTTTAGCTTTTAATATGTGGTTAATCTTACACATTAATAAATCTAAATATTTAGCTCAAATAGATACTAAGAGCAAAATGAAAATGTACATAAAACATGCCGTATAGCATCTGTCATTTGGTAAATGTTAAATTGTATGAGTTTACTCAACAATGCAATCAGAAAGTATTCTTAATTACTGAGAATGGTTACAAAGAAACAAATGTCAGTTTCACTCCTTAGCTCTGTTATATATAAGACCTCCACAAGTTGAATCCAGCTAACTCAAATTCAATAAAAATAACAACAGCAAAAACAGTCAACAAAGCTATGTAAATCTTACTCAAACACAAGTGCATTATTCAAAACAGTTACTTTCCTAGTAAACTTCATTGTCAAAGAGAACTAAGCTAATCTAAAGATACTTTAGGTCCAAAAACAAGTTGTCAATTTCTCAAAGGAAGTAATATGAACTCTTGTTTAGCTTTGAAAAATGCATCATTTATTTTTGTTTGGATGTCCTTGGATGAATAGGATTGCTTTATGAAATATTTCTGATAAAGATTTTGCTTTTATTGTATTTTCCACAGGATACAAATGATGAAATGCTCACATTACTCTGACATACAACAAAAGTCAGAAAAGCATGAAATTCCCACAGAGTTCCCTGTCCAGAAATGTCAACTTCACAGAGCACCAAGTCTCCTGAGATAATGGGAGGTCCCATTGTCTTCCATCAGAAACATTAACTTTGATAAAAGAAACCTGGAAAGTCACATTCTTCCACTTGGATGTATTGAGAACTGGCTGATTTAAAATTCTTCTCACAGTAACCCAAACTTTAATTTCCACCTCACCACAAACCTATTTTCCTTATCCACATCTTGTAGCATGTTATAAAAGCAGATCTGATTTAGGACACTTTGTATTTTGTTTAAACATAAGGATTTTAATATACAAAATGAGCATAATTTATCATCTATTGGCTTTTGAAATATTGTTCAATATACAAGTTATTTCTTACGGTATTGTGAAAGCAGCATATGCGACATAGGGGTGGCTGAGTCTGACTTCTAACTGCTTCAAAAAGAGGAACATTTCCCATCATTAATATCCGCAATACCATACAGATAACGACATAGTCTGGCATGCCACCCCACAAGCACCTGCACCTATTTTTGCCAATCATTAGGCCCAATGTTCACTGCAAGACTCACAAACTTTTTTTGATAGTTGTGAGGTTTTTTAGAGAAATAGGTTGGAGTATGGGAGAGGCATAGAATATCACACAGGCAAGTTCAGGTTTAGCCCAGCAGTTCCAAACCAGATTAATAAGGCACAATTCTTCAATTAGTGAAAGTCCAAGCTCAGTTCAGCAGCACAAATTCAAGAAGCCTATGGTTTCCTCAATTGTCTAACAAACTTTATCTGAGAGTAGTTACAAGTCAGCTTTTCCTTTGATCATCAAGCAAGCAGAACTTTTAACTGTGGACTTTATCTGCAGGGTTCTTCTAGTTATACTTGGCCAGTCTCTTCACAGCAGTGCTGCAGTCTCTTCACTGTCTGTCACATTCTCACTACTACTGTTTTGCACACTATTGAAGTATCCTAGTCTACTGGTCCCTCAGATTTTGATGATTTGCACGATTAAGTGTCTGCAGTTAAGGTAGCTGGAACTATGCTCCCTAACAGGGGCTAACACAACAATTAGAAAAACCAGTTTTCAAAGGTTTTTACCCCAGATATGCTTTAATTTTCTGTTTTATCTCTTGCTTTACATTCAAAAGAAAGGTAGTGCAGATCTGGGGGTAAAGATGTACAAATGATCAGCAAGAACTAGAACTTCACATTTCCTGCTTTCAGACATGATTCTATTTAAATTGGTGGGGAAACCCCCCAAAACAAAAAACCCAATCACCCAAAACATAAAAGTTAGTGAGAAGTAGTTTACATAACAGTATATCATTTACTTAATATCTTAAATAAGACTCGAAAATAATGAAACTTTATCATTAAAGAGAAAAATCACCAATAGATCTGTGGTGTAGAGTCAATTCTAATTCATAGTGTCTCTAAGTACAATAGCATCGAGCACTTCCAGGTCCTGAGGCATCTGTATAATTTGTCTTAGGTTTGAGCCCACTCTTTTAGGTAATTTGTTGCAATCTATGCTCTTGAGGGTCTTCAATTTGTGTCCTTCAGGATTATCTTGATTTCAGTCCACATCCTTAAACGTCTTCCTCATTTTTCATGGAGCCTCCACTTTACTAAGCACGATTTACATCACTGGGTACTAGCTGCTCCTGGTCACACCCTAAGTACAGGAGTCTTATCATCCTCTTTTCTAAGCAGCACCTTGGCAGTGAGTCAATTTGAGCTCACACTGATTTCCTATATGTGAGAGTAGAACTGGTTCCATACAGTTTCCAGGCGCTGATTTTTAAAAGTAAATCATTGCACTTTCTTCCAAGGTACCTCTGGGTATTTTCCAACATCCAACTTTAAAAAAACTTGCAGTTGTGTTAATCATTGATATTATCCACTGCCATGAATTCCAAACCATACTAAACTTACAGGATAGAGTAGAACATTCCATAATATTTCTTCATCACTTTAAATACTGACAGTATCAGACTATCACATCTCTTCCTGATGAGCAGATAGTGAGTTAGAAGATCTGATCCTATAGTCAGCAGCCAAGCACTTTACCCATGGTGATGCCAGCATCTGCATCATTTAACATTAAGAGAAAATGACAGATCCTGGTGTCAGAAGCTATCTCAGACACTGGCCACAAGATGGCAATGCAGGTAAAGAAAAGATACACGAACCAGCCTGTGAACTTCAAAATCTTGGTGTGTATAGGATTTATGCACATTGTTTATATTAAACATACTTTCAGGCTTACTTTTTCAAAAATCTGGAAATTTGGGAAGTATAAATATTATAAAGAAACAAAATGTCTAATTGCCCCAAATACTTTATAACATTTATTTCTACAGATATGGACATATTGTCAGTTAAGAGTAATTTTACAAGTTCTTAATGTACTGTCCACTTGTTTTGCACTAATTTGGTGCCAACTTACAGTATATATGAGCCTGTTTCATTTTAATTTCATAAACAATGAACATTTTTATTTGCTTTATTGTAAGTAAAAAGGGTATTTCATTATTTTAATTATTCACATTTCTTTGGCTAGTTAATGAAGTCTATTTATATGTATATTAATTACATGTATTAATGGATATTCATTTTTACATATATATTAGTTTTATATAATTTTGAAGATTTTCAGTCTTCTACTAAGGTGCCATACTTGCTATGCATTAGAATGCTGGACAATGACTAGGGATGATAGAAGGAGAATTGATATCTATGAGCTGTGGTGCTGCAGAAAAATATTGAGCATACCACTATTGGTATCTTCTGCTACGAACAACAGGATAGTTCTGGAGAAGGTGAAGCCTGGCTGATCCTTGAAGGCAAGGATTCTGAAGCTTCATATGACATATTCTGGACATGATGCAAGGCGGGACCAGAACTTGGAAAGGGACGTCATGCTTGGGAGGCTGGAGAAACAGTGCAAGAAAGGATGACCTTTGATGAGATTCACTGATTCAGTGACTGGAGTAAAGGAGGTAGGTGTGTTAGAGACAATAAGATTGACACAGGATAGAGAAGGGTATAGGTCTGTTGTACATAGCGTCGCTGAGTTGTAGGCAACTCAATGGCACATAACAAGTACAACAACATTGTCTATTCAGAAAAAGTTTATATTAGGTTAAGTGGTTTTTTTTTCCTTGAAGGCTGAACTCTAACGAAATCATGAAATGACTGTATAACATTTATTTATTCTACTTTATTAAAAGTGGAATATTAAGCTGAATATTTTTATGAATTCTGAAGCTAATAAATTAGGAGAAATTTTATAGCTGCTAAACAACAATTATAGTGAGGTGATGTCTCAGTTTAGATAGATAGATAGATAGATAGACAGACAGACAGATAGATAGATGGGTATTTTTTAGAGAGTAGAGATACCACTGTACTGAAGAGATGCACGGAGATAATTTTAGTCCTATAAAACAGAAAGACACGTGTGATTTACTAAAATTTGTTATCAAATCCAATGTTGTAATACATTTCTGTTTAGCAAGGCACTGGTTGATAGATATTAGAGTTAATTCAACAAAGACCACATGACCTGTTCTAAAGACATTGTTGTTATTAGGTGCCATCCAGTCAAGTATGAATCACAGTAAAATTATGAAGAAGAGATCTGAACTCTGGCATATCTTGTGTCTTGCAAAAGATTGCTGATATACTCGAGTTCACTGCAGCAGTCACTGTGTCTGTCTATCTATCTGGTTAAGGGTCTTCCTCTGATCCTCTCTCTACCTTTTTACGTATGATGTTCATCTCCAAGAAATAGTG